TACTACTACTACTACTACTACTACTACTACTACTACTACTACTACTATTACTACTACTATCACTACTACTACAACTACTATTAGCACTACTACTAACAATAATAATAATTACGACGTGTATAAAATATTATGTACATACGTTGATCTTTCCAAAATGGCTTCAGTCTCTTTCAATCTGTAAAAATCGAATATAAAAATATTGGTAATATTTTGTTGTCTAACTGTAGCAAAAACTGACTTTTTTCTTTGTATGCATTAGGTAAAATGAGACAACGGTAGGTCAGCTGGAGGTAATGAGTGGATTGACACCGGATGCGTGATGTATTTTATATATTAGCCCATATGTTCGTGTATTGACTGTACCGCCAGGGACTTGGTTGGATGTGTAACTCACCCCCGCTACTCATATTTACTACTATAAACGTACTCGTTGAAGTATTTTTGGGAGTGATGTAAGTGTTTTTTATGTAGGTAGGAAAAAAGTTACAATTCACACACGGCCTAGTTTTATTTCAATACACCCCAAAATCGTTGTCAAACCGTAGGTGTATTTAATCGTCTCATCTGCAATACACTTAGTTGCAAATAAAATCGGCCAACTTTAATTAACCAAAACAATAATACTAATTATTATAAAAATAAATAAAATCTTAGACTGTTTAATTTTTATCTATAGTTCTTACAATGTGACTTCTATGATGATGGGTGATGATTAAAATTATAATCGACCGCATAAAAATATCACTATCACATTGTCGATTGCATACGTTTGCGTCAATACGTTGCACAAAAAATTTTTCTGTTGAAAAATATTACATACACGCTTAAAATGTGTACTTCAAATAGTTTTTTTTTTTTTTGAATAAAAAACTGTATTTTGATGCCAACGAGTTGTTCGACAATTTACCATTTGCGAAGGTAGAGCAAACAACTGACTATGGTTGTATAATATATATATAATTTTGTTAAAAAAAAATTTGAATTCAAAACTATGAATTTTATATGAGGTTTTTGTTTATATTTATATATATATATATATGATTTAATTGCTTAATCGCACATTATTATATTTTGAAGTTTTCAAATTATGAGGGAGTTATATACAATTTAAAAAGTACATCAAGTATGTATAACGAATATACAAGTATAAAGTTACATTCATGACGAATATACTACATCATTGTATAAAGATACGCTAAACGTCACTATATAGTACTCAGCTGGGTGACCATCCGGGTATTTAGGTGACGTGTCTAGTTCTCGTTTCTTCCATCACGAACCACGTATGCTTCAGTTATTATACTAGCATGCTATCAATTTATTAATAGTTTATCTTGATAGAAAAAAAAATTAGTGATCATTATCTATTTATTTGTATAAGTTAGTTCAAGAACAATCTTATATAGTGTATAAATTAAAAATTTATTAAAAAAAAAAAAAAAAAACGAAGTTTGTTTAGAAGCAAAATCTGATCAATTAAATATTAATTTTTGAACTAGAATATATTTTTTATGGATTGCTTGCTTAAAAGGTTATTTTTGAATTTTAAATAATTTATTTGATAAACTATATTACTTAATGTTTTTTTTTTTTTTATATTATTGATCTCAAGCCTGGCAACTAAGGCCATTAGCTGTGAGAAAGTACGATAGGTTTTTGAGTTATTTGTTTTTTTTTTTTTTTTTTAGGGTTTGTATGGATAGGTTAGAACACGTGTACGTATGTATGTGTATGCTATGGATTCGTCGCTAAGAAACTGGATGGTCACCCTTCCTAAAGCTAGCGACTCCGGCCGATCCTTGACCTCAGAACACGTTAGTGACTGAGGACAACTACCGCATCTAACCAGGCCACAAACTATTTAGTTCATTATTGTAGACTGTAGTGATATTATGTTAAATATACAAATTATAATTCAATCAAACTAAAAAAAATATGTATATTTATTTTATATTATTTTTCCTATGTTGATTTTAGTTAATAGACAATAGTGCTAAACATATATTATTTTAAACATTAACACATTTATTTTAAATACATTTTATTGGTAATTAATTTTATTTATGCATATTATTCAGTTTAAACTGTCATAAGAATATAATAATTTTGATTTTTGTTTGGTTAAAAAACTAATTTATATTTTAATAATTTATTATAATATATAATGATATAACAATTATTTTAGTACTGAAGAATATTGAAAGTTGATAAATATACATGTATATTTTCTGCTATAATCAATGATTAACGGAAAACATATTTATTCTGAGTAGGTAGATATCAAATACATTTCGAACATTTTAAGCGAATTTCAACATGTATTATATGGAGTAAAATTAATTCAAAGTGAATTGGTTTTGTTGTAATTATTGTTACATTAACCATCACAAATTTTAGTTCAAAAATAAATGTTTAAAAACTTAAAATTGATTTTGGTGGCATTCATTCTAAATCCGGTTCGAAATGCCTAGTCAAAATGAAAAATTTCAACTAGGTATGATAAATTCAACGAATATATATATACATATTATAATACAAATATTTATGATACTTTCCTCTGTGTTATATTTTTGCTATTATGTTATTAGGATAAAACACGTAATTATTTACAGTTTTTTTAAAGCAATTAACAACATTTTATATACTTAATTAATTATTGCATGAAGCAGCTGTTAAAACAATTCTTGATAATATGTGTAACGTAATATTTAAAATGGACAATAGAAATTATATTTTAATTTATATGAATTCAAGCATTTACAACTATTATTAAAAATAAGTTTAATAGAAAAAAGTTAAAAATGTAAATGTCTTACTCTATAAATATTTAAGTTCAAATGATTTTGTATAATAATATTTAAATATATCTACTGAATCATTTTGTAAATAAAACATTCTTTTTTTGACGAAAACTTTTTTTATTAATTCAATTTAACGTTATACACTAATTGCTATTTAGTTTTACTATAAAAATTGATCAAATATGTTAAAGTAATAATATTTTAGTTTCGTGCTAATAATTAAACATGTTTTTAATAGTTATACACTTATATGTAAATATATATGATAAATCGTCCAAAACATAAGTTTACTAAAATAAAATATTATATGAATAAAAAACATTTGATTTTTATTTACGTGAATTCACATATTTTTAAAAAGATATATATTCAAAAAATAATGTACTCATTATTTTTAATCATAGTTAGTTTGCATAATTATTAATATTAATATTACTTATTTCATTTATTTAACCTTTATTTTTAAATAACTATATAATTTAAATTATGAATATTATGTTAATATGTATAATTTATAAAATTATGAACAGTGCGTGTGAAAATATTTCAAAACTTACCAACCATAAACAGATAAATAAAATAACAGTAAAAGCTTGTTATGTTTTAATTAATAATAATAATAATACAAATTTTAATCCGAAAGAAAAAATAAACCACTTACGTTATATTCATATTTTTAAGACGCCAAGAATAATTCAGAGTTTTTTTTTTTAAACAATTAATTTTGGTCTTTTGATATGCAAGCATAATTTACGATATTATAAAAATGAGCAGTGTTTGGTATCTACTATCTTTTTATGTCAAAATGTTGAATTCAGGAATTCGAATAATTTAAAAAAAAATAAAATAAAATCAAAATCATTATTGTTCAACAACGATTTTTTTTATTATTATGAACTCAAAAAAATTGACTAAAAGTCAATAAAAATTCAACTTTTTATAAGTTAACTGCAAATTATAATCTTTTGTAACAAAGTATTTTTAAACAGTAATTTGTTTTGAGTTATTTTTTTTTTTTTTTTTTTTTTTAATCATAACATTTTATTATAAATGATTTTTAACTATGATTCAAAATTCACAAATAATAACTAATCAAACTTGATTTCCATTTCATACTATTAAATAAAAACAGATTTTTATTTTATTTTTATTTCGTAAATAATATGATAATAATAATGATTAAATAAAGGCCGTGTGTTAAAAAGCGTGGGTGGTGTAGTTCCGATTGCATATCTACAACAAATTGCGATTGATGCGTGATAATAATATAAAATATTATATTTTATTCAATAAAAACATCAACCAGGTGTGTGCTCGGTAAGCTTACTGCCAGAGGATTGCAGTTAATCCTTTTTTTATATTGCAAAATCGCCCGGCGGCACGTCAAACCTACAAAGCGTTAGCATAGGTATTGATCGGGTTTTGTTGCCGAACAATGCCATCTAGTTATATTATTAAGTTCAGTACTTAGTATTCTACTGTCCCGCCAGATAGTGCCCACCAGCTAAATAAATAAATTTCATAGATGGCACTACAGTATTATGATTCAATACATTTTACGCATTTTCAGAAGACCACAAGTGATAATTATTATAAACAATATTGTTATTCTGAGGTTAAACAAATACTATTATTTTTCATTGATTTGAAAAATACGAGTTAAACTATTTCTAATTTTATTAATCATAAAACAAATTTTTAATTTTAAAATAACATAATTTTTATCATTTTTTTTTCTGCAAATCACTCTAAGACTAGGTTATGTTGAGACAATTAAAAATTAAAAATTGAAAAATTAAACATATAGCAGTCTAGATTTAAATATAATATTTAGTTAATTTTATATTTAAAAATAAGAAACAAAACTTTTTTTTTTAAACATTTATAATTAACAGTAATTTAAAAAAAAAAAATTAATTTAAATTTCAAGCTAACTTATGAATTAATCTAAGCATGTAAAATTAAATATTACCAACATCAAAATAGGTACAATATGTAAGTATAATATTGTTATATATTGTTTTTCTTAATTTTATTTATTAAGTTGTTTTCAATTAATTTTTTACCAGGAATTTTTTTTTTTATTTGGTATTCAAGTAAAAATATACTTAATAGTTATAATACATTATTATAGATTGTATTTTCGTTATACCAATGATATAAATTTAAATTTTTCTACGTATTGTCCATGGTCGAGAATGTATCAAATATTGATTTTTTGTAATAGTTTTTATACTTAAGTGTATCAATTCGATTCAATAATTTTTTAAGATACAATAGTTCTGACTCCAAAAAATAAATTTTAAAACTTTTTTTCTAAAACTTAAGTTAATAATTTTTTATTCTTTATAATCAGAAAAAAAATCAGAATTTGTAACTTAAGTCTTGATCTTCAAATTTATGTTTTTGGGTGTTAGAATAATGTCGGCCTGACCCTGGAAGTCAAAATTTTGACTCCAAACTAAATTAGAAATAAAGTTTTTAATTTGCACGTATTTTGAAAAAAATATAATATAAAACGTGATTATTTTCTATTTTCTATTACCTACTATAATATTAGGCATATTAAATTTAAATACCTTTTATTTAATAAATAACGAACTTCTAATTAATTCAATCTACAAATTATTATTTTATTTATAAAAATATTAGAACTGAAGCACTTTGCGCTTAATAAAAAGTAAAAAAAAATAAAATTTATTATTTATGTTAAAAAACTAAATCTAAGAATGAGAAAATCTGATTTTGTAGTTCATTTAAAATAAATTAACTGCATGTACAAAATGGATATCAAAAGTAATAAAAAAATCATAAATACGACCATTGAAAAATAAAAAAATAATCATTCATTGTTCATTAAATATTTGTATAAGTAGTATAAAATAATTGGTAAAAATGTAATATATATATACATTTTAAAATATTGAAATATCTAATTTTTCATTCTTAATTGTATAAATAACATTAAGTCAACTAATTTTTAGAATTATAAAGATGTAAATAGTCCATCGTAATATATTTGGATAACTTTAAAAATAATAATAATAATGTTATTAATATTAATAAATACTATAATAAATAATCGGGAAAATATCCTAGTTTCTATAGGCTTATTAAAATGTCAAAAATAATGAAAAACATTTTTCTACTCAGGAGAGAATCAATAACCCAGTAAGGTCATGGCTCTTCGGTTGTTGTTTTACTATTTTCTATAAAAAAATATATATTTATATAAAATATTGAATTTTATACCCATACAATATTCTTTTATTCGAAAAATAAATTTTATTATTTGCAACAACTAAACAATTGGACTAGTGTACAGATTATGTAGCTAAAATCACCAGAATTATGGTTACCATATGTTATTAAATTTTTAAAAATAAAAATAATATACTATTTTAGTGTACAAAACATATAAATAGTTGTCTATATTATATAATTTCTAATTTTTACCTAGTTGATTATATGTTAGATAAAAATAAATTAAAACTACTTCATAACAAATAAAAATTTAAAATATGATATTAAATATTATTTATAAAATAATGTTTTTCTATTACTTGTATTTTATGAGTGAAAGTAACTGAAAAGTTATGTTTATTTATAGCATAAAAAACTAATGTAAAAATAAACGAATAATCTATCAAGAATGTAGGGTATTTATTGAAAATGATAATATTATATAATAATAACTAATGTAAATAATAAAAATTTTACCGTACGCAAAAAATAATAACTCAATATTTAACAATACGGTTGTTAATAAAATTGAAAAGATTAATTTCAAAATAAAGATATATTAGCAAAAATACTTATTACTACTAGAATTGTGTCAATGTCGGAAAAACTTTCAAAAGTATAATAATCAATAATATGCTTCCGAACTTTTGTTGTTTACTTTTAATGGTTAAAGTATTAAAAACATTATTTAAAACTAATAATAAACACCAAGCGTGATTTTTTTTTTTTGACGCATTAAAAGTTTTTAGTCGAAACCCGCAAAGAGAAAAATATTTTATTTTTGTTTCGTATCAAAATTTAATGTAACTATATTAAAAATAATTAATGTTTTTAAACGTTTCATTTAGTTGGTAATTATTAGTTGTTGTATTTGGAGCATGTTGAATTATAATTATTAACAATAATTCGGAGTAAAGTATAATGTACCTATATATCTTTAACAAATTGTGTTGTTGAAATAAGAATTGAAATTTGTTATGTAAAGAATTGTGTTATTGTCAGATTTTTTTGTGTAGATATTAATATAGACGTATATTCAATTTAAAGTTATAATATATAGTCATGGAAGTGTTAAGTAATTGTAGGTTCCAATACACTTGTAAATTGATAATTTATAATATTTAAAAGGTAATAAATAATTAATACTTTATTATTTTTTAATATAAGTAGAGTTTTTTTTTTTTTTTTAAGTAATTATTAATTATTTCAAAACATTTAAAACTATATAACTTCCATATTAACATAAGCAATACAATGTTTTAGTTCAATTTTTTTTTATTATTAGTTACGTATCTACATTGGAAATGTTGTATTAATATAAATATTAGAATATATGGTTAAATAGTAAGAATTATTAAGTTATCTAAATGTATGCCTGTTATATTAATTAAATATGGAGAATGTACATGTAAAATATTATACGATCAAAAAATATTTTTGTCTACGAAAAATTAGTATATTAAAATATAATGACAATACATCATATTGCTTTATTATATAACACCGTAATATCACTTGTAGTCCTCTAATATATTTTAGTTATATTAAATTAATATTTACCTTTCACTTGCAATAGATGAGTTCCTGGACATAGACTTTGGCGAAACTTCGAAATCTGAGTCAGACCTGTACAGGAATGATTCCCGACGTTGTGGCAAATTTTGAAGCACCAGACCAGCTGACGGGGATGTGCCTCCACCATCCAGCGGTGATCTACCAGGACTAGTTCCAGCTCCATTTTCCACATCGAAACTACAATCAAAAAATTTTAAATGTTACAAACAAGTAATCACAAGTATACTATTTATAATATATATTATGTACAATGATAAGATATACACAACATAAATTTGAATAGATTGTTCTCTATTTTTATAAAATAAAATATAATATAGGTAAGTCTCATTTTACCAATAATATAAGCTTTGTTATAACTGAAAAATAGTTTTGTTTATGTATAAGTTGAAACTAATATTTTATTATTATAAATACATCGACAAAAAATCAATTTGGAGAAACATTGTGTAAATACGCGCCCATCTATATTATCACTGTTTGGTAATTTTATGTTATTGCATTACAAACACGCAGTATATTAAACATAAACAAGTTTATTTTACATAAATATTTACTTTCTTTACCAAGTTAAAAAAAGAAAAAGAAACAAGTATAAAAGGCTTTTCATGGAGTGTGGCATATATGTCTACAATATACCAAACATTCTTTTAAATTTTATTCATTCATACACCTTTGCTGAAACATTTTTGAAAATCTATGTTATTTATACACACGCTATTATGCAGCAAATTCAGTTAAAATTCTAGATAAATGTACTTTAAAAACACCTTGGGTTTTTTAATAAATTTATTAGAAAACTTTTAAAGTTATGTTTGTTTTTTAAGAATACTATAGTCGAGTTCTGAGTTTTTTTTCTTATTTTAAGTTTTATTATATTTTAATACATATAATACTAATTAATAAAAAAAAAGTATACGCATAGGTAATTATAATTAAAATCAAGATATTTTCAAACTGACCAATAATGTTTTCATAGATAATATTTTAATTTCAAAAGAAGATTATACCTCATAATACAACTGCAAATAATAATGATACCAGCCTTAATAAAATTAAAAAAATATATTTATCAATATCTAATACATTTTTAGTTATTAAATATGACAATAAAAAAATAATAACATCAGTTATTGATTTTTAAATAACTTCAGATTAAGATACACTTTTATACTTTTTTATCATTAATTTTTTTTTTTAGCTTTAGTTGACATATCTAACGGAAAACTATTGATTCATTTTTGTCCATTGCTAAAGAACAGATTTTCCGAAAGAATAGAAAATAAATACATATTTATATGAAAAATAAAAAGAGCTTAAAGGCTAATAGAAATGGTGAATTTAAGAAAAGTTGATAAGAGATAATAAATTACAATTTAAGAATAAAGTACGTTTCACTAAATAATACACCAAATAATTTTTAAATACAATTCATTGATTAACTTATGCATTTATACAAATAACTAACGTATTTACAAATTACATATATACCCTTATTCTATATATTACTTTATTTAAATGGACTGAAAAATGCACGCAACGTATACATAATAATATACATAAGAGTTCTGAATCATTTAAATTATCTTTTAAATATTTATTTATTTTAACAGACCGAATGGCATCAAAAAGTATGTTAATGTAGAATAGTTATGATAAAAAAGGTAATGTAAACACGGAACATGGTAAAAGTGGTTTAATGATTTTGGAATTAAAAAAAAGAACGTACAGTTAGAGTGTAATCCAACATGAATTATTTGAGTGGACAAAATAGTCTTTGATGTTCCATAGTGTTTGTATGAATAAACTTTACACTCTATTTTGAGTCAACTTTTGGGTACATTGAAATATTTAAAAAAAAGAAAAAAATATTAAGGTACTACCTCCATGTTAAATATTTTTAGTAATACGCTCGTCATTCATAATAAATTCCTACTTAAAATATAATGTTTATACATTACTTGCGTCTATTGATAAAAATATGATGAATCTTTGAAATTTAAAATTTTAAGTTATATAATAGACGATATAGCCCCTAAAATTTTATTTTTTTTTCAAATTGCTTGTTTTTTTTTTTCTAGCACATACACTATTGTAAAATTATAATATATTAATACCAAAGCATAAATATATTTGGAGCATTCACTTGAATTAATTTATCGGATTTATTTTACAAAAAATTTGTCTTTGTACAAATATATATACATATATATATAAATACTCTGTAATAGTACAAGACACAATGCCATTTTACCATACATAACTTTTAAACTATCACTAAACATAAACAATTGCTTAGATCTAAAATGCATATATGTTATGTGTAACTCAAAATGCGAAAATGTGATTTAGTGTTCAATAAATGTCTTACATTATATTGTATAACTATCACATAATTGTAAATTAAACAGATTGGTATTTATGAAAAGTGGTGTCATACATATGAATAACTTACTCACCCAAAAATGTTTATTTTCAAGTTTCATCCAAACCAGTAATGTGTAATGTAATTATTAAAATAAATATATTTAGGAAATATACTAAATTAAATATTTATGAAAATAACAAAAATGAATTAAATAGTTAACAATGAACTATTAATAAAAATTTAAAATACTTAATTTTGTGTTCACTATACGGTATAGGTATAATCAACAAAATAAAAATAAATCACATTTTTACTTCCATACATACTTAAGTATATTATGTGTTTTGTAAACGCACAAAAAATACACAAGGGTATTAAAAAAAATTCGTTCTAGGATTTTTTCTTTAATTCAATTAAGTTATACCTTCATTTCTATTATTTAGGGCAAAAAATACACAATACCAAGCTTTATTAAAGGTTAGAGCAAATTATATAACAAAAAAAAAAGCACAACAAAAGTCATACTATTTTAGACGTAAAAACAAGGTCATAATTATTTTTTTTTCTATTATACATAAATATATTTTTCTCATATTAATAAATAATAATATATTACATTGGATAGTGTTTATGTAACTTTGGATTTAACAATATTAGTTTTATAATTTAAAATACATTAGTAAAAATATTTTAAAATTTTGAACTGCAATTTAAATATATTTTCGAATATTTTAAAAATTACTTATACATATTTTTTACTAATATGTGTTTTATATATTATGTAAAAATATCTGAATATGATAAATATATTTTTATATTATTACACTGTTTTTTTTTTTTTTTGCTTAATACTATTTTTTATGGATGATTTCTATAAAATATCTTGCCAACTATTTTTTGAAGTTTATTAATTTTGAAGAAATACAAATATTTACTAAAATACAAGCGGAATCAATAAATACAAATATAATTAAATGTTTTAATATAATAACTGCAGTTAATTGGTAGTAATTATATTAATATTTGACGATATATGTTATTGTTTAGTTAAGCCTGTTATATTATTTCATATTTGTTATTGTATTGCAAATTGCTATAAGCCTATTACTTAAAAACAAGAATACAACGGTCAATAATTCATATCTTGGACCTTTGATGAACCTAAAAAAAAATCATACTTAGCTAAATATGTTATGTATAGACAATGTGATAGCCAACTGTTTGAGAATAGTTATTAAATTTTATATTTCAACTGAATACATGTCATATTAACATCAAATTTAGTCCAGAAAATGTGAAAGAGAAAAATGAAAAGAAAAAAGCTTTTAAAAGCTGTTATAATGAGAGTAGAACTCTCTTAATGGACTTGAAATGGCTGTAGAAGAGAAGAAAAAATGACAAATATTTTACGAGCCCCCCCTTTTTTTTTACCACATCTTTGTCCGAAATTCCCCCAACGACAAAAAGGTTCAATTTTTTCCATTATTTTACCATAAAAGTAACTTTTCATTATTTCCTCCGGAAATAAGAGAAGATGTGTCTGTTCAAAAGAAATGGACAAAACATTTAGGTACTAGTGTTTTTTTTATTTATTAATTAATTTTTTTCGTGTAAGAATAATTTAGCTTCATTATATTTCACTGGGGAGCGTCCTTAGCTAATGTAAACATTTAATTTAGTTACATTTACTAATCAAATATTACACTTATAAATTGTATACTTATGGTATAGTATTACTGAATTGAGTATTGTTAGTTTTTTGTAGTAAAATTTAAAAGTATTATACACATGAAAAACTTTAATATCACTGTTAATAAAATAAAATGATTTGATAGATTCATATTGTTTGATAATTATAAACTCAATCATTTCCTAAAATATGCAATATATTTAAATAAATGATTTATATGGGAAATAAATTAAATTATGAATAAAAAAATAAAATATCACTGTGCTGTTGATATATTATGTGACTGGTGTACATCATGATTAAGAGATTAAAAAAGATTAATTTTTGTTAAAATTTGAAATTAAAACGTTCATAGACAATTGATGTAGATAATGTTTTTAAAAAATAACGTATGGAGTACTTATTGTGTTATATTATCAATTTTTTATTTTTATTTTTTTTTGCTCACTTACAATAATTAAATTATTCAAAATTCAAATAAAAACTGAAAATCGTAGACAATAATAAAAATATGTACACAATTCAAAAAGAGCAAAAATATTATTTAATAATATATAGAAAATTATAATATAAATATTTGTTGAAATGTTAAGTTCTTAGGATTATTCATTTTCGAATCATAGCAAAAATACAAAATGATATTTGCCTAATATTGGCTTTGCATAGTAAACATTCCATTTTTTATGAAATTTAGTTTTTTGTTTCTGGTGATTTTAAAAAGTAAAATGTATTAAACATAAAATATAATTTATACTTAATTGCAATACTAATACATTAATTTCTTCATTCAAAATCAAAAAATTAGTATTTAACAATATTTTATTCAAAGAAAATGAGTTATTGTTTTTAGATATAATATTATTAACATATATATTAATTTTAAATATATTTCTTAAGATAAAATCAATTAATGCAATTTTAATTTATATTATGTAAAAAAAAAAGACATAATAAATATTTGTTTTTATTAATTCTTACAAATTTTATTCAAGATTTAAGCATCAACTGTTTTTACTTTAAAAATATAATGATAACATAAGGTTGTATATTACATTATATTTGTATATTATGTTATCTTGTTATAACAAATTTAACTATTATTATGTTAAGAAATTACTT